CACTATAAACTCTGCCAAAACTAGTCCTTACCTTCTGAAGCAACGGTAGTCGGCTTATCGACTCAGGAATGTTAGCTCTATGCGCTCAGAGCGGCAAAACGTGGTGCTACAAAAGCTCTGCCCACAAAAAAATTAGTTCGGTTTCTTTTGGGTACCCCATCGTATATTACAGCCCTTGAAAGACACTATGAAATCACAATTTCACTGAATTTGCATGATATGTAACTTTTCAGCTAAGGGCAAGGCTGCAGTGCTTAATAAACCATAGGTACCCCTCACTCCTGCTTACTAATGCCGTCATCTGGTCCTGAGTTTAAATTCTAAAAATGATTGATATTAATGCACAGCACATACATAAAAGTAAAGGTATCCCTGTAAGAGGGCCACAGGGTTGTGAGATATTGAGGTTCCCACATTATCTAGACAATCGGCTTACAGATGGTGGTAAGGTCGTCAGCCCTACGCGCCAGCTGCCCTTTACTCCCAAGAATATTCCTGGTACTCATTTCTGTTAGAGGCTGACTCAACCCCAGGACCATAGTGCGGCTGGAAGGATTAGGTCAATTGAAAAAAAATCCAATGACCTCATTGGGACTTGAACCCGCAACTTTCCGGCTTGTAGGATAATGCCTGAACCAACTACACTACCACGTGCCCCACACACTTACACATAAACTGTATCCTATTACGTACACAGAATGAAATAAAAATTCACAAGCTATCCACAGTGTGATTCCTTGCTATATATAAAAAAAAAAAAGCTGAAAGTACTGTACAACATATGCCCTGTGATGTTTAGTTTGCAAGATACATTTCACTGTCAAATGGTACAAGCTATTAAATGATCAAACAGTGGGTGGCTTGTAGGTATAATAGGTGTTTGACGTGGCTTCCATGCATTTCAAGGCAGATGGCAGTACAACACATGACATTCTCTTGACCAAGCATTAACATGTTGTCATTATCTGTTGCGACAGTTGCTTTAAGTTCTCACTAGTCCTGGGATGGAATGCATAAACATGCTGCTTCAGGTGTACCCAAAGGAAAAACTGCAACTGAGTCAGATCTGGTGACTACGGAGGCCATGCCATCAGCCATGAACATCCAACCCCACCTTCCTGGATATGTCATGTTCACCTACTGCCACACATCTTCCCCATAGCATGCTGGAGCTCTGCTTTGCTGAAATCACAACTTCTGCCTCATAGCTTAAGGCACATCTTCAAGCAGCCTGGGTAGATCACTTTCCAGAAAACCATATCACTAAGAAGTCAGCCTGTCAGATAGCAGACAGAGGCTCACAACAAGGTCCAGAGAGATTCCAGCCCAAATGCTGATGAAGTGACTTGATACCCATGTTCACAGACAGCACGATTATCCCATGCCCAGAGGGGGCCATTGTGATGTTGAACATACCCTCATGCTCTCATGCATAAAACATGCTTTGTCTGTACACAGAATGTTATGCAAGAGTTCATCCGCAGTGTGTTGCAGCCTCTAGCAAGTGTACTCACAGAGGAGGATCATCTGGAAACAAACATGTGCTCTGTAAGTAGTGACATGGTTGCAATTGATCATCATGAAGTACTTCAAGGACTCTTGGTTAGGACAGTCCCAATTCTCATGCGATATCATGTGCTCTCCACAACTCTCTTTCCACAGCTGCAATTATATTTTCATTGGCTGGTATCCATAGTCTGCAGGTGACTCGCATTCATGCGTGTTGTAGGTGCTACACTTCCTGTCTCATGGAGACACTCCTCCAATCATCAAAACACAATACTATCTAGACACTGACCAAGACAACATAGTGTGTATTCCTGTGCAGCAGTACCAGCTTGACTATTATATGTACTGAGTATTAAGAGCATGTCACAGTTCTTGTTGTGTGTGTATTCCATGATCATTCAATCATAAATGATCACTAATGTGCTATGTCTTGACTACACCTAACAATGTATTATGTAACTATAGTGACAAATAACACTACGGAGAATTATGTTACCCCATTTGACAGTGATGTGTATCTCAAGAACTAAGTATCTCAGAATATATGTTATATAATATACAGGCCGTTTCACGACTTAGGGCATAACTGCATGTGATTTCCTAGGTCTTTGTGATGAAAAAAGTTCACATAAACATGTGTCCGATATTGGACGGTTATGGAGTTATGACCGTTTTTTCATTCATGTACACGCCCTCATGTGAACCACGTCTATCATCTGGTGGGTCACTATTTTTAGCCAGCTATAGACAGAGCATTCTCGTTATCTCGCACTTGAGAGGTACCTAAGGCATGGTGAGTTGGTATGTTCGGTCATGGCCTAGTGTGGCGGCTACTGGTGTTCAGAACAGTTCTCATCTCAGTGCGTCTGCTCACACTTGAGAGGTACCTAAGGCATGGTGGGTTGGTATGTTCGGTCACGGCTAGTGTGGTGGCTACTGGTGTTCAGAACAGTTCTCATCTTAGTGCGTCTGTTACGTTCACAATGCCATTTACATTTTCATTTGAGGAGTATGCTGATATGATTCATGTGTACGGGTTTTGCGATGGTAACCTGGTTCTTGCCATAGCTGAATATCAGCAACAGTTTCCGAATCACAGAATACCGAGCCGGAGAGTGTTTACTGGAGTTTAGCAGGCATTGCAAGATACCGGTAGACCTCCTGGCATTTGTACTGCAGCCGAGCGTGGTGTTAATGAAGGTGTCAATGAAGAAGGCATTGTTCGTATGGTACATGGCAATCCATGTATGAGTATGCGAAGAATTGCCAGCCAGGTCTCCAGACTTAAGCCCACTGGATTATTGTGTGTGGGGATGGTTGAAAGAACTGGTTTACAATGTGAAGGTGGCAACGCGAGATGCTTTCCTCGGTCGCATTCTGGACGCCACTGACCACATAAGAAACACCCAGCTGAAGCTGCTACGTGCTACCCGCGTGGTACACAACCCAGCGACAGCCTGTGTTGTGGCCGGCGGTGGCATTTTCAAAAATCAGCTTTAAGCACCAATCAATTCAAATTAATGGTAATTTCATGAAGTTAACTTTACATTCATACTTTAAATGTATCCTGTATTATGCTGGTATTTTGTTCCNCGAAGAATTGCCAGCCAGGTCTCCAGACTTAAGCCCACTGGATTATTGTGTGTGGGGATGGTTGAAAGAACTGGTTTACAATGTGAAGGTGGCAACGCGAGATGCTTTCCTCGGTCGCATTCTGGACGCCACTGACCACATAAGAAACACCCAGCTGAAGCTGCTACGTGCTACCCGCGTGGTACACAACCCAGCGACAGCCTGTGTTGTGGCCGGCGGTGGCATTTTCAAAAATCAGCTTTAAGCACCAATCAATTCAAATTAATGGTAATTTCATGAAGTTAACTTTACATTCATACTTTAAATGTATCCTGTATTATGCTGGTATATTATTTTGTTCCATTTATTGTCAGTAATCATTACCTTCTATTCTGCGTTTAAAACGGTCATAACTCCGTAACCGTCCAAAATCGGACACATGTTTATATGAACTTTTTTGATCACAAAGATCTAGGAAATCACCTCCTGCAGTTATGCCCTAAAGTCGTGAAACACCCTGTATATGACTTGCTTTTTAACAAGGAATCACACTATGGAGTGTGTGTGTGCAAATTCATCCACCCTGTACACACACACACACACACACACACACGCAGAATATTTCATTATCACATGTAATATTTTACGGGATGGTTTCAAGACATCAAAATAAGTAAAAAAGTTCATATGAGTATAGAGCATGAGGGTGTTATTTAAAACATTATATTAGTTAAAAAATGTCATCTCCTGCTCCTACCATCACATTCTAAAAATATCCATTCCAAGAGCGTTTTTTGTGTCATGTGATGATGGAGGTTCATCTGACACTACATAGGCCCCCACATTTTACTCGCCTGAGACAGCAGCCATAATTAACTTAATTCTCTTTGAACACACTATAAGCTCATTACAGGAAGATGTATCCTTCAATATGCATCTTCACATATGGTTTCAACATGATAGTGCTCCAACATATTACAGTCGAGAAGTGTGTCAATGGCTGTCTGCAAATTATCCTGAATGCTTCACTGGTTGTGGACATGAAGCTCCAGTTTCCTGGCCTGCACATTCACTTGGCTGGAATCCCCTATATATTCATTATGTGTTGATATTTGACAACCATGGTCCATGCCAGCACAATCGATACTAGACCGGAAATGTGGCATAAAATCAACAATTCATAAGTGAAATAAATATTACACCATAAAAGTAAGGTAAAGTTGTTCCCGTGCTTTACTAATTGAGCACTTGGTTATGAAGATGTATGGGGAATGGATGTTTAGACCTACGTTTTCTTGACCTCAACACTAGTTGGAGGTGAATGGTCAGCTTCATGGCCCAGCTGCTTTACCCCCGGGGAAAGAAGAATACACCATACCAGGAATCTTCAAATGCTTGCAAGTTTCTTTTTAACACAGAGCTGAGTTGAGTGTCCATGAACATGGAGGCCATTTCAAACAAGTCTTTCAAGAAAATAAAAATAAACAGGTTATTGACGGCTTCTTTGTTTGATTGCTTCATATAAACTACTTGCTAAAATTACGAAGTATTTAAGGTGTGACCATGGAAGTTGAAAGCATAAAGAGCTGTATCTTTGTAAGGAGGGTCCTCAGGGCATATATTCCTATGTATGCTTTTACTAATTCTGATTTTGAGAAACAATCCTGTAAAATACTGCATGCAATAATGAGGCACCTGTATATACACACACACAAGGGCCCTCAAGTGACAATGGAAAGATCCGTGCATGGTGCGGACAACACTTGAGGCTTTCCCCTTTCTGCCCATTGCTGCATTCTGTTCCAGTCCCCTTTGGCCCATATCAATCAGTCCAACGCACTTGTTGCCAAAAAAGATTACTATATGCTCACCACCATCAACACTCCTGTCAACCGAATGATTAGACTAGTGCAGATACAGCGACATACACAGGAGGTAAAGTGTAATAGGTCACAGGGATATATGGGGGTGGGGGAGATGATCCAAGAATCTTCTTTCCACAGCCCCAGTATAGTTTCATGACTTTGCAGTCAGCATGCATAATATATTAATTTCAATAACTAAATCAATGCTCACTCAGATTTTCCATTGCAATCCAGAAGCAATGCCATGCAGTATTAAATTTGCAGCCTCTCAAGATAATGCTGAACAGATTGTTGACGAGGCCATCAGATCTATTACAGCAAAACTGAGACATAACAAGTGTATGCAGATGTGGAAAATCTAATTGTCTACTGGGAAGTCCAAACTCACTGGAAGCAGTGAAACTACGCGTTTGTTCTGGTACAATAACCTGCAAAATACAGCGATACTTCACATTTACAACAAATACATAAAATATTGTAGCACGTATACCTGTGCTAATGACTCGCGAAATAACACCTGCTGCTATGCAACAGATACCTAACAAGCGACAGTTGAACCACAACAATGAGGAACGGTGTTTTCTACGTGATCTGTGCTGAGGAGCTACATGCAGGACAGATCTAGAGTTTGGTTAGTTGAGGTGGAGTCAATCAGAAGAGTAGGTGGTTGGTGTGAGATGGTCGCCACCTCGGAGTTAGTGCAGTGCGGTGTAGGGAAGTGAAGACTTGGTTGGTGAGTTAGTCAGAGAACTGCAGTTCAGTTGTTGTTAGAAGCTGGTAGCTAAGGCACAGGATAGTTCAGGAACCCAGACGACTAGTGAAGCCTCTTATCGGATGCTGAACACTAGAGAGAGTGTGTGTGTGAGAGAGAGTGAGAGTGTGTGTGTGTGTGTGTGTGTGTGAGAGAGAGAAAGAGTGTGAGTGTGGGCGTGTGCGCATGTGTGTCTGTATATATAAAACACAGTGAACTGTAAAGTGTAGTCACAAGTCGTGTGTATAAGCGTTCAATAAATCCGTTTACCAATCCAAACCCCCTCTATAGTCAGACTCATACATGAGACATGTTTATATTACATAAAACTACCCACATCTAACTCTTCAGGGCAGAATCCTTCTTGAGAACCTCTCTCCTCTGGTTCTTTAAATTCCGGGAACCTTTGGAGTAACTGGGTGACTATCAGCTTCTCAAAAAGGTCTCTGCCTCATGGAGAATGTTAATTCGTTATAATTTTCATAAGAGTCTGATATCAACTTTTCTGGAAGACACCAACAAATCCTGTGATTCCTTACCCATAACTCCTTGAGAGCAGTACAATGTACAAGCCAGGTGCAAAGTACATCCAGATCACCACGGCCGAAGATGGGAGTCTTTATATATACAAGCATAAACTCCAAGTGACCAAGCTGAGGTGAGATGAACTCTATATCCATATATATTGAAGTCCTACAGAGGTCAAGTCTATGATTCCATGACCACGAAAGCCGTTTTAACTGAAGTCAAAGAAACATTACACTAAAATTATGCTGAAAATTTTTTACCATCATAACTTACACAGTGTGCTGCAATTCTGTGCAATACAGAAATGAAATTCACGGACATTATGGTATGATGAGAAACAATGCCCAGACCTCGATGCGGTTAGGATCTCAGTTGTGTAATACCAGGTACACAGCTTTAATTCAGTTGCTTTTCTCTTCTAATAATGAGCAATATAATATTAGGATATTTACTCTTTTGTTTACCATTTACAACTTTGTTCAATACCAGCATAATTATGGTTCATGGTGAAAAGGGTTTCTACTGATGAAGAAGACTGGAAAACTTTCAACAAACTATGGTAATTCTAAACAGCATTAACTGCTAATATTCTGCATAAGTTCTAGCTGATGTGTGTTAGAAGTGCAACAAGGAATAATAAGGTTAGACAATTTCTTAAACCAGTATATTTAATTTTTAATTTATTTTTAGAATTGACGGAAGAAAAATTTCATTTAAATAACATAGAAAAACTCCTTGGCTTTTAGTCCACAAGCAAACTATACTGACTGAGTAACCGCCACTTGGCGGCAAAGTTAGTGCCAACTTTTGTGGATAGAGGGTGTCACGTGGTCAGCACAACAGATTCCCACAGCCATTAATCTCGGTTTTCTAGACCAGACATTTAAATCGGGTAACATTAATAAATTCAAGTACTGTACCATAATGCCAAAAATGGTCAAGTAAACACACAGGCTTTAAGAAGTCTGGAACTGAATACCTGCACAAAAACTGAAAAGTAGCCTGCTTTAATATCTGAACATAAGTCTTAAAACACATCATCTTTTACTTGAACTCTGTGACATCTTAAATACAAATCAGGACACTTTAATCAATAAAATGACAAGCTATGCGCTGCATGTCCAGGGTTTGATCACCTGAAGGGACAAGGATTTTTGTTGTTGCCATCACACTGAGACTAGTTGCTGGTCCCACTCAACCTCTGCTCAGTTGGCATTGGCGACGCTTTCACATGGAGCAAAGCAGATTGATCACTCCAGCCAGTATCATGGTTAAAAATGCTTGGAGCTTTGGGCAGTGTCTCTTGTTCCTTCATATGTTCATGTATGATGCTTAGACACAAGGAAAACTTTACTTTTGCTCTATCAAATTAAAAACTAAAGGTAAATCCAACTGGAAGAACAGGTCAACTTACAACTGAATAATTTTTACTGATGCTGACAATGAATCTCTAAGATGACATTTTAGTACAGACATGAAATAATGAGTACCTGACATTTATTTAAGATCATCAAGAGATGCCTCCAGGTTAGGGAAGTATCTGCTACATAAAGAGAATCGAGATTTGAAAGTTTCAACACACACTCTCGAATATCTATAGACTTCAGCCAGTAGCAACTTGTTAGGTCAAATTCCTTGACATTTTCATGACGTATCTTTGGCTTCAGATAACATTTTATATGAGAGATGTTGGCAGTATAACATCCTGCAAAGCTTAATTTTCTGCAAGAGAAAAATTACATCAATTTCTTAAGCAAAAGAATGTTTAAACATACGTGTCAGTTACCCACTTAATAATCTATCCATGATGCTGAAGGTATTTTGTCACTTGGCTATATGAAATTTAGAGTTTCATCAGGGTTGGAAAATTCCTGGGAATCAACTCATTCATGCTGGTATCCAAAATGTTAACTGCATGCAACAGAGTTCAACAATATTATTTAATTCAATGAGTGTGCCAAACTGGTTTTAAGGACACATGGAAAATGTAAACAAAAAACATGAACAAAATACTCACCTCTGCATTTAAATGCATATTTTTATTAATACCAAAATATAGATTAAAAAAAAAACAACTCCGCTGCCTATAGTCCGCAAGCGAACTCTATCCAACCGAGCGACCGCCGCTTGTCGGTGAAGTTAGTGCCAATTTTTGCAGTTGGAGGGTGTCACATGGTCAGCACAACGGATCCCCACGGCCGTTAATCTCGGTTTTCTAGACCGGATATAGATTAAAACATTAACCTTTAAACGCCGGACTTCTGAAATGGTGGTAAGCTTGAGCTGGCCAGAGTTTATTTAAATGCCTGCTGCTGGTGCGCGTTTAAATGCCCGTTGCTACTCTGCACTTAAAAGTCCGTTCCTGTTAGGGCACTTAAACAATTTTAAGCATAAATGGACCGAATTAACTTTATTCGTATCAGCAAAGAACATAGTGTCGCATATTATAACAGAAGATTTGAAAATTTTTATACAAAGAGTTATATTCTATTTTCAATTTTTTTCTTTTAATTTTGATATGTACTGCAAAAATGGTTTCCCAGTTCTTCACAGAGTTGTTCTGCATTATAAATTTATTTGTTTGTAACACTTGACAAATTTTAGCAGTCCCCGGTGTCATAAAACTGATGGAAGCAATGAAATCATTTGGTCTTCTGCTGGCACTGCTTACACTCTTCGGATTTTCGAATCTTTTGACTAAAGGACAGAAGAATGAAGGCATGGCTATTCAACAGAAAACTAGTGGGGTCCCTTCTTCAGTGCTAAGACCTTCTGTTACAGCTGCAAGAGATTATTGCCCTTTCTAGGATCGTGAACAGACAGTTGCATCGCGGCTGAGGTACAGAGTGTGATCTGTTTTCTGTGTGTTCATGGTGAAATCGAATACTGTAGTTTCATTTCAACCTATATATACATCAAGTAGATAACAACAAAAAAGGTATGTACATCGAATTTTACCATATATTTTTAACACATTAATCTGCAATCCCCCTCGTTGGTGTCTCCACCTTATCGTGGTGAGGGGGTTTGAGTATGCCAAGGACCCTGAGAGCTATACCAGTGGTAGCATAGCTACTGCCAGGGCCTCCCTTCCTGGACAGGTCAAAGGGTAGGCATCAGATGAAGAGAGACACCAAAAACTGATGCCGGAAGCAGCGTCATCAGTAGCGACTTGAAGCACAGAGCAAATGATGCTCGAGATGGTTCAAGTTTGCATAGCAACAGGCGTGACCTGAGTGGTTTGAACGGCTGCTGTACTGCGGTGTGGAAACAAATGGAAAAACTACCATATTATCACTTTTCCTGGATAGTCTCTTTCCAAAAACAGAGATACCATGTATGCGAGATGTTTCCTCTGGAGACAAAACAATCCGGAGGTAAACTACTCCCCCAATCGGATCTCTGGGGGGGGAGTGTTTCTAGCGGAAATGTCATGCAGGCGTTACAACAAGAAAAAGTGCGAAGACCAAAAGAAACATCATGGCTACAAGATTGGAACATGGAATGTAAGGACCTTGAATCAAGCAGGCAAATTGGAGAATTTGAAAACGGAAATGCAGAAGAATGAAGTGTCTGTTCTAGGTGTCAGTGAAGTGCGGCGGAAAGGACAAGGTGAAATAACAAGTGGTGATTATACAGTGTATTATTCCGGAGGTGAACGGGCTGAAAGAGGTGTGGCAATAGTGGTGCATAAAAGTGTAGTGAGGAGTGTTGTTAAGAAGAGTGTTTGTAATGATAGAATTATTGCTCTGAAGTTAAAGGTGGAGCGGGTAGATATACTGATTATGCAAGTATACATGCCAACATCAGAGTATGAAGATGAAGAAGCAGAAAATGTGTATGACACAACTGAAGAAGTTCTTCAGGAAGATGGAAGAGGTGACACAAACAGCACCATATTGGGAGACTGGAATAGCATTGTTGGAGATGAACCATATCAGAATATTGTTGGATCACATGGACTAGGAAGACGGAATCACAGGGGTCAAATGCTTATTGACTTCTGCGAATGAATGGACTGATTGTCACCAACACTTGGTTCAAGAAGCCAAAGAGAAGAATTTACACATGGAAGGCACCTGGGGATTGGAGGAGGCATCAGCTTCACTACATCCTTGTGAAACATCGATTCAGAAACAGTGTGAAGGATGTGGAGACGCTGCCTGGGGCAGATATTGACTCTGACCACAACTTACTGGTTGCCAAGTTCCGAACCAGGTTGAAGAAAATTATAAGATTTCAAAAGTGCAGACCTAGATGGGATTTGGAGAAGTTATATGCTCAAAGACAAAGCGTGCAGGAGACCCTAGAAGAGAAACTCAGTGCAATTGAAGGTGAAAGCGGAAATGCTGAAGTGCAGTGGAACAATTAAAAGAATGCATGTTAGATACTATTAGCGAATTGGTTGGTAAAGTTGAGAAGATAGCAAGAAAACCATGGGTTACACAGGAGATGATGAGTAAACTGGAGGAGCGAAGGAAATGGAAGAATGTCAACAATGAAGAAGGCAGGAGGATATACAGGAGACTGAGGAATGAATTGAAAACAGCCACGGACAGGGCCAAAAAGGAATATCTTGAGAAG